CATCTTGGGCTCAAGGAAAAATAGGGATGGGATGCCAGATGCTGGCCTAAATCTACCAAATCCCAGCTGCCTGCAACAGTGCCTTGGAAACTGTCCTGGGGAGGCGTTTTAGGTGTTTTGAAGGTATTTTGCTGGTTTAGGGGGACATTTTAGCCCCAGGCTCTGACAGTCAAATATACACTGATTTGAGGGATCAGTGGAGGGGAGATGATCACCCAGAACAGAGAGCTCAGCAGAGCTGGGTTTTACAACCCAGGATTCTATTGGCCTCACGCTCAGGGCCCATGGAGACCTGGCCTCAAACCTCAGTTTATAGAGAGCTCTGAGACCCAGAGGGATGAGTGATGGACTTACTATGCTAGACGGGCATGCAGCCCAGCTCTGCTGACTCCCAGGGCCGTGCTCCACATCCACATCCCATGTCTTTGCCTTAATTGAGGTAAAGTTTACCAATGGTAGAAAAATGCAGACATCTGAGTTTTTAGCCACAGTTATACACAGGCATTTCATTGTGTGCATATAACATGGATATATAATCAGATTCACCTCTATTACTTTCTTATCCTCCCTCCTCCCAATTGTTTTTGCTTTTGCTTTTTTCTTTCTTTCTTTTTTTTTTTTTTGCCAATACTGGGGCTTGAACTCGGAACCTGGGCACTGCCCCTTAGCTCTTTCAATTAAGTCTGGTTTTTTTGCCATTTGAGCTACAACCCCACTTCTGGCTTTTTGCTGTTTAATTCATATGAGTCTCACAGACGTTTCTGCCAGGGTTGGCTTCAAAATTTGATCCTTAGATGGACATTGAGATAGCTTCTCCTTTGGGCTAGTATAAATATTGCTGCTAGAAACACAAAGTTTTTGTGTGGGCATATGATTTTTTTTGCTCTTGAATATATGCCTGGTAGTGGACTTACTTGCTAGGTTATGCAGTAACTGTGTACTTAACTATTTGAGGAATTGCTAGCTATTTTCCAGTGGCCACAGCTTCTTTTCATTGCCATCAGTAATGGATAATGGGCTCTGATCTCTCTCCATCCTTATAAACGCTTGTTATTATTTGACTGATTATGGCCCTAACAGATGTGTAGTGTTTCATTGAAGTTTTAATTTGTATCTCCTTGATTACTAAAGATGTCAAGCATCTTTCTATGTGCTTATTGACTATGTGTGTTTCTTCTTTGGAGAAGTGTCTATTCTTTTTTTCTTTTCTTTTCATTTTGTGCTTTAATTTAAGGCATGAGCCCTGCTCTTTAGCTTTCTCCATCAGGGCTGGTGCTCTACCACTTAATCCATACCTCCACTTCTAGCTTTTTGGTGGTTAATTGGAGGTAAGAGTCTCACAAACCTGCTTGCCCAGGCTGGCTTTGAACCATGATCCTCAGATAACAGCTTCCTGAGTCCCTAGGATTTTAAACATGAGCCACCAGCACCCAGCTTAATCCTTTTTTTTTCTTTTTTCCTTTTTTTTTTGCCATTCCTGAGGCCTGAACTCTGGGTCTGGGTGCTGTCCCTCAGCTCTTCAGCTCAGGCTACTGCTCTATCACTTGAGCCACAGCACCACTTCTGGCTTTATCTGCTTATGTGGTGCTGAGAAATAGAACCTAGGGCCTCATACATGCAAGGCAAGCATTCTACCAGTGAGCCAGCCCTTAATCCATTTTTTAAGTTGAAGTAAAATAGACCTGAAAGTGAACAGTTCAGTGACATTTGGAATATCCAGCATGTTGTCTCTCATCTCTATCTAGTTCCAAAAAGAAGTTTCATACCATTAACTGGTCACTTGATTCTTCTGATTCAGCCTCTTTCTGTCTCTGTGGATTTACTGTTCTGTAATTTTATATAACGGAATTTGTTCCTGTGTGTCTCCTCCTGTCTGACATCTTGCATTTAACATAAAGATTCTTTGTAGCATGTCCAGACTTCCTTTTAATGACTAAGAACTGTACCACATTTGTTTATCTACTTAGCTGTAATGGACCATTTGTGTACAGTGTTGTTAGAATGCCTGTTTTCAATTTTTGGGGGGTTTGTACCAGTAGACTTGTCCAGTCATATGGTAATTCCATATGTTCCATTCTGAGTAGCTTTTTTTTTCTCTAAAACATTCAGTCTGCTTTTTAAATGGGTTGTCTTTTTTAGTTATTGAATCGTTATTTTTTGTCTCTCTTCTTTTCAAACAGGATCTCACTGTGTAAGCCAGAGTAGGCTGGAACTTGGGATCCTCCTACCTAAACCCCAAGAGTGCTGGGATTACAGGCATTCCCAGTGTGTTGTGATTCTTTATATATTCTGGATACTAGTCTATCCCAATACACAATTTGAAAATACCTTTTTGTTTGCTTTCATGTTCATGGCTACTACCACTTGAGCCACAGCTCCACTTCTGGCATGTGGGGGGGGGGGCCGGTGTGCACGTGCATGCGTGTGTGTGCACATGCATGTGCACTTAATTGAGGAGTCTCAGGGCTTTCCTGTGCGGGCTAACTTTTAACCTTGATCCTCAAATCTCAGCCTCCTAGTAGCTAGGATGAGTCACTAGTACCCAGCCACTTTAAACTCATACATATAGACCTTTTATCTGTTTTAAGTTAGTTGTGTATGAGGTAAAGAGATAGACCCAGCACCATTTGTTGAAAAGACTATTCTTTCCCTAGTCCCAGGCCATTGTGTGGGTTTAGGGAAATCAGCTGATCATAAATCCAAGTGCCTATTTTGGATTTTCAGTTTTGTTCCACTGATTTGGAATGTCTGTCCTTGTGTCAATATCACAGTCTTAATTGCTGTAGCTTTACCCTTGGCACAATCAAAAGAGTAGAGTCAAGAGGAAAGGAGTAGATGAATGAAGAGACGAAGGGGAGAATGCCAGTCAAGAGTGCAATGTATCTCCTATGAAATGAAGAAGAGTGAGGGAAGTGGTGAGGAGGGGAAGGATGGGTGAGAATGTTGAAAGTGTTGACATGGATCAAGATATATTGTAATTCATGCACTGCTTTGTTAAATGGCCAACTACTTTGTACAGCTACTTAAAGATTATAATAAAAAAAGAAAAAATAAATAAAAAGAAATCAAGAAATGAGTCTTCCAACTTTTCCTTTGCAAAAGATTGTTTTGGCTATTCTGGAACCCCTGTGGTGCCATAGAAATTTTAGAATCCATTTGTCAATTGTTAACTCCTGCATAGAAGTCCCCTGTGACTGATGGCAGTAAGTCTGTATAGCATACTCAGAAGACATTGCCAAATATCGAGGATTTGCTAATCCTTGAGCAAGGGCTATTTTTTTCCCATTTATTTTTGGTGTGAATCTTCAAACAGTGTTCTGTAGTTTTAGAGTATATAATTTAGCACTTTTGCTAAAAATGTAAGTGGTATTTTTATCATTCTTAATTGCATTTTGTAATTGTTCATTATCTTGTGGCATTTGCAAATTCAATTGAATTTTAAGTTTTGACCTGAATTCTGAAGCCTTGCCAAGTTAGACTGATTGTTCTAGTTTCTTTGATAATTTATAAGCTTTTCTATGTCAACATTATGTCATATACAGCTAAAGAAACTGTTACTTTTTTTAGTCAATTCAGCCTTTGATTTCTATTTTTACTATTTCCATTTCCTTAGAATCCTAGTATAATGAAAAAAAAGTTGTGTGTTCAGCTTTCTCTTGATTGGAGGAAGAAAACACTAACTTATCACTAGGTGTGACATAAACTATAGAGTTTTTTTTTTAGTCATGCTAGAGTTTTCATAAAGGGCCCTAACTTTGCTTAAAATTGAGAGACATTCTCCATGCTTTGGTGGTCCTAGCTCCTCAGGAGGCTGAGATCTGAGGATCACAGTTTGAAGCTAGCCCAAGCACATAAGTCTATCTTCAATTAACCACCAAAATGTTAGAAGTTGTGTTGTTCAAGTGGTAGAGCACCATCCTTAAGCAAAAACCCTAAACAAGAGCCCTAGGCTGCGAGTAAACCCCAGTTTGGCACTAAAAATAAAGTAAAAATAGAAGCAAATCAAGAGAGCCCAGCATTAAGGCTGGAACTTTCAGTAGAAAAAAAATTATTTATTCAATTAAACCCCCCCCATGCAATCCATTCCCCACCACAATAAGTAAAAAAGAAAAATGTTGTAATGTGCAGTCAGAACATATGGAAGTACCTGTTTGAGATCCAAGGGGAGTTGGGGAACCAAAATGGCTTGAGACCAGTATCTCTTACTCATTTTACACGTTGCCTGCAGCACTAGCAAACCCCCCACTGCTACCACCACCACATTTTACCAAAGATGTCAGCGTCATCTTCATACATATGGCCAACTGATTTAGCCCTGACAGAAAAAAAGAAGGGCTTCATTCTTCAGTAATGTTAAAACACATTCCCGGGACTTTATTTGGACCTGCTCAGGTCACATAACCATCCCTAAATCAGTCACAGTAGTCAAAGGAATGGAATACTGTATTGGTTAGGCCTGAGCTATCCAGGGGAAAAGTTAAGCCCTACTGGGTGGACTTCAGAAGAAAAAGATCATATTCCTAAGAAAAATCGAGAAATTGAGAAGGAAGATCTCTTAGTTTTTCCATTCTGGCACATGAACTCAAGGCCTGGGCCTTGATCTCAGACCTTCCCTTATTTTTATTTTTTATTTTATTTATTTTTTGCACAAGGCTAGTGCCCTACCACTTAAGTCACAGCTCTACTTCTGGCATTTTAGTGGTTAATTGGAGACCAGAATCTCACATACTTTCTTCCCTGGAATACCTTCAAATCGCAATCCCTGGATCTCAGCCTCTTGAGTAACTAGCTTTTACAGGCATGAGCAACCAATGGTCCGGCCTTTGAGCCTCTGTTTCTCCATTTGTAGCATGCAGGTGAGAATCACTATCACTTTTGACTCTTGTCAGTCAATGGGCCAGTGTAGCTGAAAGCTGTACCTGAACTGTGAAGTCTGGTGCACAAGAATGGTTACCAAGCAGTTGTTTTTGACCCATCTCTCCTCTGTGTCTCCCTTACAGAACACCTGAAGAAACCACTTGAGGACTACATGGCCCACTTCCCCAGCGTGCGGATTCTGCGAACCAAGAAACGGGAAGGCCTCATAAGGACCCGGATGCTGGGGGCTGCAGCAGCAACTGGGAATGTCATCACATTCTTGGATTCACACTGTGAAGCCAATGTCAACTGGCTACCTCCCTTGCTTGGTAAGCAGGGGTGAGGAAGGGAAGCCTAGAGGGAGCCAGCTTCCAGGGGCTCCAGTCTGCTTCAGGGAGGCCCCATGCCAGCTGCTTTATCTGTTTGAGAGCATCCTGCAGAATGCCAAATAGCATAAGGAATTAGGAGACTCAGGGGTGTTGCAGGAGACCTTAAAAATGCAATCACTCCTGTCCCTTCATATCACAGAAAGGGAAACTGAGATTCAGAGAAGGTAAGTGTTGGGCAGCTCACTGGTGGCTCGTGCCTGTAATCCTAGCTACTCAAGAGGCTGAAAGCTGAGGATCAAGGCTCAAAGTCAGCCCAGGCAGGAAAGCACCATAACACTCTTCTATCCAATTAACCACCTAAAAGCCAGAAGTGGATCTGTGGCTCAGGTGGTAAAGCCCTAGCCCTGAGTGACAAAAGCTCTGGCATGGTACCTAGGACCTGAGTTCAAACCTCAAGACCAGCATAAAAAAAGAAAGAAAGAAAAGAAAATGACAGGGTACTTTCCTTAGATCACTTTAAGTTTTGCAGGGAAGCAAGCTAGCACTGTATACTGTTAAAAGTCATAGAGGCCCAGGGTCCAATGGCCCAAATCTGTAGCTCTAGCTAGTCAAAAGAGATCTGTGGATCAAGGTTTGAAGCCAGCCTGGGCAGGAAAGTCCCTGAGACTGTAATCTCCAATTCACCACTAAGAACGCTGGCAGTGGAGCAGTGGCTCAGAGGCAGTATACCAACCACGCTGAGTAAAAAAGCTAAGAACAGAGCCCAGGCCCCTGAGTTCAAGCCCTAGTACTGGCACCAAAAAACAACAACAAAAAAAATCTTTTAGAGGGGACATCTCTATGTCAAAAAGTGGAGTTATTGTTTACTGTGCCATTATAATGAGCCACACAGGTTATACACACCATCTAGTCCTCACAAGAATATGCAGGTTGTTGTTCAAAGAAAGTAAGATTCAGAGATACTGAGTGGCTCTCTTGTTCCTTCGGGCCCTTGGTGTCAAAATCACCAGCTGTCTGGTTCCAAAGTCTGATCTTTTCCATAGTCACACACTGATTCTCAAGTTCAATTCCATCTAGAATTTGTGACAGAAATGGTGGGGAGCCTGCAGGTAGAAGGCAGCATGACCCAGAAGTATCTGCCACAGCCTGTGGGCAGGGAGATATGGGGATTGGGGACTGGGTGTTGGGTGGTATAGCCACTGGGCCAGACCCAAACCAAAGACTTTTATCATGATGAAGCATTGAACCCATGCTGCCAGGCCAGTAAAGTTATCTTCAAACAGACTATCAGGCCAGGGCCATCAGTGGAGCCAGTTGGAGAAATTACAAGTCTAGAAAGAAAGGTGAGCTCCTGAAGAGTGAATGATCATCTGTCCATCACAGAGAGTTTCAGAGAGACCGGAAGTTGATAAACTTTAACAAGGGGTCAGAACCATCTGAGAGAAGCCAGGCGTGGTAGTTAGCATGTATATAATCCCACCTGTTTTAGAGGGAGAAAGGAGGATTGTGAGCCTGGAAAAAATATCAAGACATATCTCAAAAGCAAAATACAAACTAAAAGTCTAAGGCTGTGGCTCAAGATATAGATCACTGCATAGCATGTGTGAGGCTCTAGGTTCAATGCCTGATAAAGGGGGGGGGGGGGTAGTGGATTTTTGTTGTTGTTGTTTTGTTGCCACACACTGTGGCTCAGCCTGTAAATGTAACTAGAAAGTTGAGATCTGAGAGTCATTGTTTGAAGCCAGTGCAAAGAGACAAATCCACAGATTCTTTTTTTTTTTTTTTTTTTGGGTAGTGGTGGTGGTCGTGAGGCTTGAACTCTGGGCTTGGGCACTGTCCCTGAGTTCTTCAGCTCAAGGCTAGTGCTCTACCACTTGAGCTACAGTGCCACTTTCCAGTTTTCTGGTGGTTAATTGGAGATAAGAGTCTACAGGACGGGCTATGAAGATGGCTCAGTGGAAGAGCTCTTGCCTTGGATGCATGAGGCCCTGGGTTCAATTCCTCAGCACCACATAAGCAAAAAGAAAAAAGCTGGAAGTGGCATTGTGGCTCAAGTGGTAGAGCGCTAGCCTTGAGCTGAAGAGCTGAGGGACAGCGCCCAAGCCCAGAGTTCAGGCCCCACAACCGGACCCAAAAAAAAAAAGAAGAGTCTACGGGACTTTCCTGCCCAGGCTGGCTTTGAACTTCAATCCTTAAGTCTCAGCCTCCTGAGTAGCTAGGATTACAGGTGAGCCACTGGCACAGCAGATCCACAGGTTCTTATCTCCAATTAACAAAAAAAAAAGTTTGGAACTGGAAGACTGGAGGTGTAGTTCAACTGGTAAAGCACCAGTTAGCAAAAAAGCTAAAGGATAGTACCCCGGCCCTGAGTTCAAACCTCTCAGTACTGTGGTTTTGTGGTTGCCAATCCTGGAGCTTAAACTCAGGGCCTGGGTGCTGTGCTTGAGCTTCTTTTCTCGTGGTTAGTGCTCTATCACTTGAACCAGAGTTGCACTTCTGGCTTGTTTTTCTTTTTTTTTTGGAAAAGGGGAGGTAGTTTAACGGAGATAAGAGTCTCATGGACTCTTCTGCCTGGATTGGCTTTGAACTGTGATCCTCAGACCTCATCTTCCTGATAGTACCAGCATTTTTTAATCACCTAGACTTGTGAAGAAACACTATCTCACCTTACCAGGTTGGTTCTGAGTCAGGAGAAGGGAGTGGGGGGGGAATCTCAGGCTGTATTTCTGACCAGGTCCCAATGGATGCTGGTCCAGTGACCACACTGAGGAATATTGGCACCATTCCAGGGGTGAGAATCAAAAGCCAATCCCACACAATTAGCCAGGGATTTGATTCCTGACCCAGTTCAACAGGGAGTTTTATGATTCGATTACATGCTTCTGACACTCAGCTCCAGGATCTCACAGGCTTTGGGGGAAAAGAAAAGATGTAACCCAGAATTTCTGGTAAATTGTTGATTTAATTAAACCAAGAGACAGTCTACATCTGCTTCTCATTACAGAAAAAGAAAAAAAAAGAAAAAGAAAAGCCTCCCCATAAATCGCCTCATTTGTGGTCCTGGAAGAACAAGCCATTTGTAGGGTCATTCCCTGACTCATAAAGAGAATGAAGTAGTGGGCCACGAAGCTGAGCTCCTAATCTAAATAGCCCTTAACTCTGTTTCTATGGAAATGTATGAGGGCAATTTTCATAATCTGCAGACTGCATGGAAGAAACAGCCCCCTCTTTTTATTCAGCTTCCAACAGAAATATTAGTCTGTAGTGTGAATTTACAAGTCTCTCCCTCTAATAGCAGCAGCTGACAGAGTGCAGCATGGCTATTGTCTGTGAAACCATTAACAACTCCATGCTGGGCTCACTCTGCCTTCTTTCAAGATTAAGTATTTCTGAGCTTAAGGAGGATTTAGCTATCTCAGGAAAGACACTGCTGACCATCATCCTCTTTTCCCTCTTCTTCCTTTTCTTCTTCCTCCTCTTCCTCCTTCTCATCTTTTTTCTTTCATCATGGCTCTGATAGTTTCCTTGTATTTTAGGTCATACCCACACTGTCCCTGAGCTTTCTTTGCTCAAGGTTATCACTCTACCACTTGAGCCACAGCTCTCCACTTCTAGCTTTTTTGCTGGTTAATTGAAGAGGACTTTCCTGCCCAGGCTTGGCTTTTGAACCTCAATCCTCAGATCCCAGCCTTCTGAGTAGCTAAGATTATATATGTGAGCCAGGCTACAGTGGCTCCCATATCCACATGTAAATGTGACTGTTAGACCATCTCTGATGGGTGTATGTGTGCGTGTGTATATACTAAGGCTTGAACTCAGGGCCTAGGCACTGCCCCTTAACTTTTTTAAAACCCAAGACTGGCATTCTACCATTTGAACTACAGCTTCACTTCCATATATGTGCTGATTAATTGGAGCTAAGAGTCTCATGGACTTTCTTGGCCTGGTTGGTCTTGACCACAATCCTTAGATCTCAGCCTCCTGATTAGCTAGGGTGACAGGCATGAGCTACTGATTTTTTAAGAACTTTGTTGCAGTTAGAAATAGATCAGGCAACTCAGCACAATACACAAATGCACACACGTATGCCACATGACTGACACCAACTGAGAGCCTTTTATCTGTCACACTCTCTCTTATTACCTGAGGTGTGGCGGGGGGGGGGGGTTGGAGTTTGTTTTTGGTTTTAGTTTTTTGTGCCAGTTCTGAGGTTTGAACTTAGAACCTGCACACTGTCCCTGCGCTTTTTTGCTCAAGACTAGCACTCTTACCACTTGATCTACAGCTCCACTTCCAGATTTACTGAAGAGTCTCACAGACTTTCCTGTCCAGGAAGGCTTCAAACTACAATCCTCAGATCTCAGCCTCCTGAGTAGCTAGGATTACAGGCATGAGCCACCAGCTCATGGCTTCACTGGTTCATTGGTTCATTATACCCTCATCCCCATCTCCACACACAGTTGATTTCATAACCCATCTATGGATCATGCCTTGAGATTCGAAAAGCAGAATGTAACTCCTTTATGAAACCTGTACTGTACCTTGAGGAAGTGTGGGCCCTGGTAGCTACTGGTTTGCTCTGGCCCTACAAAGGACCCCCATTGCTAGTCTTGAACTTGACTCCTAACCCAGAGTAGCCTAGAGCTCCTAGCATGGCCTTCTTGCCCCTATGACAGGTCATCACGTCCAATAACTGCCTTTACTCTTGCTATAGTCAATGCTTCCTGGAAGGAGGGACTCTAAGGGGAAGCAAATCAATGCTGCAATTCAGTTGGTAGGCTGGGTAGAATTAATGGAAGGAGAATTAGTTTCCCCTGGCTGGACAGCTAACTGGGTCAATGCCCTCATTTGCTATCTGGACACCCCCCAGCTTATAGCATTGTGCACTTCCAGATGAGAGGACTCATGACTCCCTGGACAGTCCATTCTCTCTCCCATAGCTCTGCCTGATTGCCCAGTTGAGCTGAGCACCTCACACCTGGAGTCCTAACTATTCAGAAGGCTGGGACCTGGAGGATCTCAGTTCAGAACCAGCTTAGACAGAACATCCAAGAGATTCTTATCTCCAATTAACCAGCACAAAACCAGGCTGGAGGCGTGGCTTGAGTGCTAGGGCCTCAGCTGTACCACGTAGGTGAGCAAAGGTAGCTGAGCAAGAGTTCAAGCCTGAAATTAAACTGAGCTTAAGGAGAGCCATCTGCTTGCTGTTTACAGCCCAAGGAGCTGTCAAGGCATATGGTTTGCCGTGAGGCGCAAGTGTTGGCATGCCAGGCTGCTTACAGCCATGAGTCAAGATTGGGATTTGGAATGAGAAACCTGACAGGGTCAGACTGGAGATTCTCCCAGAAGGAAATCAATGTCTTCCCATAGTGTACTGTTCATCCTCAGGCCTCTGTACCCAGTACCATTACACATGGTTATATCGTTCAGAACATCCTGGAAGGCAGGGCCTTGTAGCCCATTTCATAGAGAATGCAGTGAGTTGAAGATGTTATTTGTGGGTCCGCCTCAGGTCTGGAATGGAACACCCTCCCCGCCCCGCCTTCCTCCCCACCACATCCCTGCTTCAAGCCTGCAAGGATCCACCCTTTATCCCTGTAGATTCCCAAACCCAGAGTTCAGAGACATTGTCCAAGAAATGTTAAAAATGACTAGACAGGTGTTAGTGGTTCACATCTGTAATCCTAGCTGCTCAAGAGGATCTGAGAATTGGGGTTCAAAGCCAGCTGGGCAGGAAAAAGTCCATGAGACTTTTGTCTCCTGTTAACCACCAAAAAGCTGAAAGTGGAGCTGTGGCTCAAGTGAGAGCCAGCCTTGAATGAAAAAGCTCAGGAACAGTACCCAGGTCCTAAGTTCAAGCTCCAGTACTGGCACCAGAGAGAGAGAGAAAGAAAGCTACAGAACAGGAGTGAGCTTTTAGCTCCTACCTCATCTAACAGGCATCTCTTGGCTACTTCAGACCGCATCGCTCGGAACCGCAAGACTATTGTTTGCCCGATGATCGATGTGATTGATCACGATGATTTTCGGTATGAGACCCAGGCAGGGGACGCCATGCGGGGAGCCTTTGACTGGGAGCTGTATTACAAGCGGATCCCGATCCCTCCAGAACTGCAGAAAGATGACCCCAGTGACCCCTTTGAGTAAGTATGAGTGATCCAGGCCCCTCCCAACATACAACTCAACATCATTACACCTCCCTCCCAAAAGTACAGCTTCCGGGCCCTAGTCAGTATAGCTTGTGACATACTCTCAAGCTCCTGGACACCCAAATTACTCTTTGGAGTCAATATCAGAGTTGGCCAAGCAGCATTTGGGGTGTTAGGAAGGAAGTTGCAAGGGTTCTGGGTTTGGAGCAGCCCCATCATCAAAACTACTCTTGCTGGTGGCTCACACCTGTAATCCTAGCTACTCAGGAGGCTGAGATGTGAGGATCATGGTTTGAAGCAGAGGTGAATAGAGTCCCTCATGATGTCTGTCTCTCAGGCCTGGTGCCCAGATAAAATCATCATGTGCCAGGCACAGTGCTGAGCTCTGTACCTGACCCAACTCTACCCCCCAGCAACCACAGGCAGGGAATGCAATTATTCCTGCTTTCCAAATGGGCTCCATGAGGTCTCAGGTCACAGAAGCATCTGTCTGCCTTGGGCTTCCTATCATCCTCTCTGTCCTCTTGGAAGTGTTTGAGAAGCCCAGTGGCTGTGGGGAGGAGAAGAGGAGGAGAATCACAGGGGCCTAGGAGAGATGGGCTTACCTGCGTTAATGATAGCGTGGAGCTGAGCCAATAGCAGAACCACCTTTTCTGCACTTCTGCTCTTCTTATCAGCAGAGGGTTCACCGTCCCTTCAAGCTGCCCTCTGAGCTCCCATGTTAGAGGGATCAAGGAGACCTTTGATCTAAGGCCTTTTGGGCCGACCTTATTCCTTGTTGTTACTGTGATAAATGGGCTGAAATTTAGTGGCTTTCACACCACGCTGGAAGTTCCAATGGCCGAGCGTCTAACATGAATCTTACCAGCTAAAATAGGCGTTGGGAGAACCCACGTTCTTGACTTCCCCAATTTCTGCAGGATGCCCATGTTCCTTGGCTCACACCCCGTCCTCCATAATGCAAGTTAGAGGCATGCCATCTTACATCGAATTGTTTTCTGTTGCCATCCTCTCCCTTGCTACCTCCTTCATTATAGCATCTCCTTTTCTGCCTCTTCCTCTCCTACCTCCTTTCTTCATCTCTAAGCTCTGTGGGTCATGTTGAGCACATGTGATTACATTGAACTTACCAGAATAATTTCCCCATTTCTTGTGGGGGGGGGCGGGGGGGGGCGCAGTGTGCACGCATGCGCACTAGTCCTGGGACTTGAACTCAGGGCCTGGATATTGTCCCTGAGCTTAAAGCTAGCACTCTACTATTTGAGCCATAGCTCTACTTCTGACTTTATAAATAAATAAATAAATTTTTTTAAGATTAAAGTGGGCCACAGCTCTGCTTTTGGCATTTTTGCTACTTAGTTGGAGATGAGTGTCTCACAGACTTTCCCGAGTGGCCTCACACTATGATCCTCTCAGCCTCCTGAGCTTCTATAGGAATGAGCCACTAGGGCCTAGCTGATTTCCCCATCTCAATGTCATTAAACTTGATCACCTCTGCAGAGTCCCTGTTGCTTTGTAAGGTTACATATTCATGGTTTCCAGTGATTAGCACGTGGGCATTTGGGGAGGAGGATGGGGGCATGGCTGCCGCCTCACTGTTGGGACCCTAGATAAATCCCAAGTTCTCTGTGCCTTTACCCTCTTCATCTAAGAAAGGAGGTGAGGAGTGGATAGAGTTCCTGCTGTGCTCCTGATGGCAATCTCTGATGTTGTCAAGGAAGGCTCAAGAAGAGCTGAGGGACTGAGTAATGGGCAGTGGGGGTAGGAACAGAGTCCAGGCAGGACTTCCGTGGTTCAGACATTGGCTGTCTTTTGACCTCCTCCATCTTCATTGTATTTACTCACTGCTATTAGAGCCCCTCTTGGCCCAGAGCTATGATTTAGCCAAAACCATGCCATGCACTCAGCCCCAGCCTCCAAGCCTGATCCTCAGTTCACTTAAATTCTTGAAGAATAAGACGAATAGTAAGCCAGATGCCCATGGCTTACACTTGGAATCCTAGCTACTCAGGAGACAAATCCAGAGACTTCCATCTCCCATGAACCAGCAAAATGCTGGACTGGAAATATGGCTCAAATGGTAGAACCATGAGCAAGACAACCAAGCAAAGTGTAATACCTGGTTGGTTAAAAATCAGCCTTTATGCTGGGCATCATGGCCTCATACTTGTAAATCCTAGTTATGAGGATTGTGGTATGAAGCCAGCCTGAGAAGAAAACCCATGAAGATCTTATCTCCAACTAACCAGCACAGTGGAGCTGTGGCCCAAGTGGTAGAGTGCTAGCCTTGAGCCAAAAAGCTAAGGAACAGCACTCAAGCCCTAGGACACACACACACACACAGCCTTTAGGAAGAGAAGTTGTAGGTCAGAAAGAGGAAGGGCCTTCGTGTCCCAGATAGACCTGTATTTAAGAAGCATCCATGTGGGACACCACTAGCCACCACGAGAGTCGCGTCATCAGGCTGCAGGACACGTGTATTCTCATGTCATGTTCTTCTTCCTTGACAGGTCCCCTGTGATGGCCGGCGGCCTCTTCGCCGTGGATCGGAAGTGGTTCTGGGAGCTGGGTGGGTATGACCCAGGCCTGGAGATCTGGGGAGGAGAGCAGTATGAAATCTCCTTCAAGGTGAGTCCACACTCTGGAAGCCCCCTTCTCCTGGGCAGCCTTCTTAGCCCCAATCCTGCTGGGCTGCCTGTTGACCATTTGAGGCCTGAAGGGTTCTGTAGCCTATTCTGCTTCTCAGATAAATTTAGGGTACTTCTTTGAGTGGGGGTACATCGGGGGCAGAAGCTGCTTGTGGGGTACCCTTGGGCTGCCGAAGGCTGATCTCCAGCACTGCTCTGACTGGCCTTTGTTTTGCATATCTTCATAAGATGCGAAAGGCAGACATCGTACCATACAGGCCTTGAGCAATACTCTGCTCTGAGAATGGTCCCATAGCTTCCAGATTGGCCTCAGTGATTCCTGGCCACCTCTCAAATTGTTTTGTGTCTGTTACTGCAGGCGTTTGACACAAGGACTAGTGGAGAAAATCTCTAGTCATAGAATACAAAAAGCCTAGATTAAAGGTCTAAGTCCTTCACTCAATAGCTGTGTGACTTTGGGCAAGTTAGATTATTTCTCCAAGCCTTCTTTTTTTCCTCATCTGAAATATGGTGATGATGATGATGATGATGATGATGATGATGATGATGATGATGATGATGATGATAGCCTGTAATCCTAGCTACTCAGGAGGCTGAGATATGAGGATTGCAGTTCAAAGCCAGCTGGGATAGGAAAGTCTATAAGACTCTTTATCACGAATGAACCACCAAAAATGCCAGAAGAGGAGCTATGGCTCTAGTGGTAGAGCACCAGCCTTGAGCACAAATGCTCAAGGACATTGCCCAGGAGGCCCTGAGTTCAAGGTTTAGGGTCAGTACTAATAATGTTTATAATACTTCTCTTACAGAAGTCCTGTGAAAACTAAGTGAGATAATATGGAGAAAGTGTTTAGCATGCAGCCAGGAACACAGCCAGCAATTAATAATTGGCAGGTGTTATTAAAGATGTAATGAATAGATGTTTACTGTAAGCTGCCTTAATTAGCCTGTTAGGCCATAGAAGCTGTCTGACAGTAATTGTAAAGAAGTTACTAGTTAATTAATTATCAGCTAGGAACTTGAGTCCACATTCTCTTCTTTATTTGTGGGACTCTGCCTTGCTCTAAGATGAAGAAAGCTAGGCCTAATGAGGAGAAAATTGGTTTGCCCTGTGCTTGTATGGTTGAGGACTTGGCTAAGGCAGATACCAGCCCATGAGCAGTGGTCCCCGCTTGAGCCATGACTTTGGGGCTAACCTGATAGCCAAGATCAGATTCTAGTTCTGCATCTACCTACCAGCTGTGTGATCATGGGCCAGAACTTCTTACTTCCCTAAGCCTTGCTTCTATAACATGGATTTAGTGGGTGCTGGTAGCTTACGCCTGTAATCCTGGCAACTCAGGAGATTGGGATATGAGAATCACAGCTCAAAGCCAACTTGGGCAGGAAAATCCATATGAGTGACTCTTATCTCCAATTAATTTTAAAATTAAAAAACAAAATAAAACAGAGTGGAGTTGTGACTCAAATAGACCACTGGCCATGAGCAAAAAAGCTAAGGGAACAGTGCCCAGGCCTTGAGCTCAAGCTTTAATACCAGTACTCACACAAAAAAGGGTTTAGTGATACTTTCATCTTCAAGGTGGTTGAAAAGATTAAATGAGACCCTGCTCCTTAGGTACATTTTAATAAATATCCTAAAGATTATGATCATAAATCAACATATTGTTGTGCTCTGTAACACTGGTTGAATAGTACAGAAGTGAAGAACACAAATTCTTGATTAGCAAATCAAAAAAATTACTAGAATTATGCTGATATATAATCTTGTTTGAGGCTTTTGTTTGTTGTTTGGAGATGGGGGGGGCCGTCCTCACCCTGCAGTGCAGGTTGGCCTCAAACTCTCGTTCCTCCTGCCTCAGCCTCTCAAATGCTGGGATTATAAGCATGTACTAACCTTGCCTGTTGAAAATACTGTTCAGGTTTGAAAAGCAGTCTGTGTCTGTTTTCATGATCTCGAAAGCTGTCTGCCCTGAGGGGGCCAGTCCCCCGAAGGAAACTAATATTAATATCCAGAAGTAATATTCAAAATATTTAACAACTGCAATGAAATAAGCAATAAGCAGTTGGAACAGATGTCGTTACAAACAGTGCGTGTGATGGCTGAACTCCAGCCAGGGAGGAGCTTGCCCAACCTGACACACAATAATTTGACTTGAATTAGCAATGGTTCAAATTAGTAAAAGCAAGTAGGTTTCCTCTCGTAGCCACCTTTGGTCCATTGGTTGGGGCTGCCCTCTTCTCTTTCTGTGTTATATATTCTGAAGCTAAAGCCAAGTTCATCCAGAAAAGTGTAATATTTGATTAATCATGTCTGCTTGGGTGCAGGTTTGGTGCTTAATGGTACCTAGGTCATTTATTAGTAGCCCTAGCCCATGAAATCTCATTTCCAAATAATACATACATTCCATGAGTACCAGTGAAATCAGCAGAGTTTTAACTTTGCAGTCAGTCCCCCCAAATTTGTCTTCTGGACCTCTATGTATGAAATACTCTTCCAGATTGGTTCCCAGAAATGAACCCTCTGAATCGTGAATTCTTATCCATAAATTTCAGTGAGGTAGGGATCATATTCTATTCCAGTCAGTGCTACCTCCCTAGTGCCTAAAGGATTGCCTTCACATGGAAAGATACTTCATCAGTCTCTGTTGGCTGAATGCTTGGAGCAGCTGTGTCACTGGCCAGAACTAGCTCCCAAGCTTCTGTAGCTCCTTAGTCAACAAGTCAGAAGCTCCTCCTGCAGAACAGTGACTAGAGAAAAATATGCACAAAGAGCTTTTGTACCAGGTGTGGTAACTCTCGCCTGTAATCCTAGCTACTCAGGAGGCTGAGATGTGAGGATCGCAGTTCAAAGCCAGCCTAGGCAGGAAAGGCCGTGAGAGTCTTATCTCTAAAAAACCACTTCGAGAGGCTGGGAAGGTAGCTCAGTGGTAGAGTGCTTGCCTTGCATGCATGAGGCCCTGGGTTCGATTCCTCAGCACCATATAAGCAAAAAGAAAAAAAGCCGGAAGTGACGCTGTGACTCAAGTGGTAGAGCGCTAGCCTTGAGCTGGAGAGCTAAGGGACAGTGTCCAGGCCCAGAGTTTAAGCCCCACGAATGACAAAAAAGAGAGAGAGATTTTGTGAGTGTGTGTGCCAGCCATGGGGCTTGAACTCTAGACCTAGGCACTGTTTCTGAGCTTTTTTTGCTCAAGGCTATCACTCTACCACTTGAACCATATGTCTATTTCTGTCTCTTTTTTTTTTTTTGGTAGTTACTTGGAGATAAGACTCTCATAGACTTTTCTGCCCAGGTTGGCTTCAAACCATGATCCTCAGATCTCAGCCTCCTGAGTAGCTAGGATTACAGGTGCAAGCCACTGGTGCCCAGTCACAAAGGAATGTCTTAAACCCAAAGCAATTCCATTCTGTGGGTTTCAAAGGCCCATCTAATGTCACTCATCAGGCAATTATAGCAGAACAAATGGCATTTTTCCCCCTCCACACAGTTTATTTACAAAAGACTTGGTAATGAAGCTGTACTGGAAGTCTCTCATCCAAGAGAGAGAAGGCGGCTGGCTCATGTTTCCATTTTGATCCAATTATATCTGTCACTCTCCAGGGGAAACAAGGCGATGTAATGAGATGGCTCTGAGCTCTGGAAGGCAGACTTTTATCCCTTGGCTCCCTCTCTCCTGGCTTGGAGAACCCAAGTTCTGGAGCCAGCGATAGCCCATCTGCCAGCTCACTTGTGTCCCACCCCAGGGAAGATCTGTCCACAGCCAAGGGGCTCTAGTGGGCCCAGTCATCTGCCCACAGCTCCTTGCTCACATGGAGTGTCTGCCACAGCCAGAGCCCAAATATCTCCCAAGGGCTCATTTTTTTCTGATTAATTTCTGCTAGATTTCTTTCCTCCCTCCCTTCCTCTCTCCCTCCTTTCCTTCCTTCCTTCCTTCCTTTCTCTCCTCTTCTCTTTCCCTCCCTTCCTCTTCCTCTCTCCCTCCTTCCTCCTCAGTACTAGGACTTAAACTCAGGGCCTGGTGCTATCCCTGAGCTTTTTTGCTCAAAGCTAGCACTCTGACACTTGGGCCATAGCGCTAAAGAGTTTTCCTGCCTGCCTGGCTTTGAACTGCGATCCTCAGATCTCAACCTCCTGAGTAGCTAAGATTATAGGCATGAACCACTAGCTCCCAACAACTCCATTTTTCTTCGTGACACAGAGAGAGACACTAGTCTGAAAGGCACAAGTGTCTGCTCCAAAATGAAGAGAAATTGATAATGTGTCATCAGGACTCAGGGATGAATACTTCGGCTCTGGTTTCTGATCATGTGTTTTAACCTGATGGGAAATCCTCAGAAAAGACGTTTGAAAAATCTGTAGAAGAGGTAATGGCTCACCCCACACACACACACACCCGTCTCGCCCCCTAGCACAGCTTTTATTCTGCCTGGAAGTTACAGTCCTTTCAACTCTCAGTGGTTAAATAAGTCTTGGATTTCAAAGTCAAGCATCCAGTCCCTTCATGAGCTGTATTTGCTTCTCTCTCCCCACTTTTTCTTGCACTCCATTGTACTACTCTGAACTCTCTGCCACAGATGACCCAAACCAAGTCAATTGGTCTGATTGATGCAAAAAGCTAGATCTAATGGGTCTACCCAGCTTCTAGGGTAAACTACTACAGGCAGGATCCAAGGACTACCCCTTCTCCTCTGCTGTCACTCTCTGAAGACTTTACCTGGCTTTGTGACCTCTAGACCCTCCCTGGAAAGGGTCTGTATTTCCCATCACTCCGCAGAAGACTCCAGATTGAGTCTTCTTGGCCTGCCAAATGTCTTGTCCATCACTAAGCAACATCCTAACTAGTCAGCCACAGCCATGCCCAGCTGAGGTGAAGGGGGGTGGGGAGGGGCTGCTCCAAGTGCTATGCTCAAAACAGGCAGTGGATGTGGGAGAGGACAAGCCATAGACACACACCTCATCCAGCACCTCAGGGCTGTGGC